GAGCTAAATCTTTGGCCCTAGCAGCCATGATTTTTAAAACTAAACTTTTTGTTGTTTTTTTGAGCTAGGGTTTCAACTGTGGAGCCCAGGGTGACCTTGAACTTGCAGGAATCCTCCTGCCTCAGCCTCCTGAGTGCTGGGATGACAGGCATGGGCCACCACCCCTGGAATTTTTAAAATTAAACTTTCGATTTTAGAATAATCTTACATATACAGAAAAGTTGCAACGGTAATACATATACGCTTTACTTAGTCTCCCTTCTCGTTACAAACTTACACAACCAAGGTAGCTCTGTAAAACTAGAACTTTATATAACTAACTAAACTCCCATCTGTGTTTGGGAGTTTTCTCATTAAAATTCTGTTTCTCTTCCAGAATTGAATCCTAGAGACCACCCTGTATTTAGCACACAGTATTGTAAAGATGTGGTTATGTTTAAGATTCATGGGTAAGAGCTAGTGATGCCCTTCTATAATCCCAGCACTCAGGAGGCTGAGGCAGGAAAATGGCAAGTTCGAGCCCAGCCTGGGCAATTTAATGACTTAGCGAGACCCTGTGCCAAATGAAAAATCAAAAAAGGGTCGGGGACGCAGCTCAGTGCTAAAGCTCTGTGTTCAGTTTCCAGTACCAACAAAGAAAAACAAGAAGAAAGGGGAAAAGCTCTTAGTGGATGGCTGCTACCTCCAGAACCCCGAGTGGCGATTTGGAGCCCTGTCACCATGTCAGCTGGGAGCTGGCTAAGAGGGGCCCTGCCTCCTGGCGCTGCACACGCGTGGCCACTGGCCCAAGCACCCAGTCACTCTGGCCTGCAGGAGGTGCTGGCTGCAGCGCCATGGTGGCCCTGTCAAGTCCCCACGTGGTGTCCAGACTGGAGCAGGGGTAACCCCTGGGCCTGGAGGGAATTTGCAAACCCCACTCTTTCCCCTGAAGGTCTCATCATTTTAGTCTGCATAGTGTAGGGGCGGCAGAAGGGTGAACCGGGAACAGCGCACATCCTGTCACAGGCAGGGAGCCGGAGCCGTGTGCAAAGTGAGAGACACCGACAGGCTGGACGGTGGCGGCCTCAGTGGCATTTTGGCTGGAGAAAGAAGTAGGGGCCTAGCCAGGCCTGGTGGCACACGCCTGTCGTCCTGGTACTCGGGAGGCTGAGGCAGGAGGACCTTGGCAAGTTGGGGCCGGCCTGGGCTCCTCAGTGCAACCCTGTCCGGCTTTGTGTGGTTCTCTTCAAACTAGGCTAGTAGCTCTGGTACTTGATGGAGCTTCTTTGGAGATCAGATAATTAAAATGTATCTAACTTGTGCTCTCCACTCCTCGTGGGCTGGTTCCAGTGGGGTCCAGGCTGTGACCCCGGACCCGTGTCCCAGCGGCCCCTGGGCTGAGCTCCTTCCTGGATCTCCATGCTGGGCCAGTCACAGCTTCCTGTGTGCGGTTTGTGCTCCGCCTCTGTGGATTCTGGATGAACAGGCTTCAGGGCCAAGGGTGAACCCCGAGGTGAGCCCCAGGGGATCCTCATCTTACCTCACTGCTCTGTCGTTCCTTTCTTCTCCATCCAAAATCCTGCTCAAGCTGGGCACAGGGACACAGACCTGTAACCCCAGCTACTCAGGAGGCTGAGGCAGGAGGATCTCCGTGAGTTTGAGGCCAGCCTGGGCTATAGCATGAGTTCAAGTTTAGGCTGGGTTACATAGTGGGGGGCTGTCTAAAACAACCACAACCAAAACCCTAAACGAAACAGAGCCAGACTGGCTTTTAGAGCGGCCCACTCTCTGATGAGCTGTCAATCCATGAACAGATGAATCCAGGTCACTGCTCCAAGTCCCCTGGTCCCTTTCTGCTCCGGGCCACGCCCTCTGCAGCAGGGGCTGCACCGGACCTGGAGCAGCCCCGCCTGCCCTGTGAGCACATGCTGGCCATTTGGTGTCCTGCCACCCTCTGCCCTGACCGCCTCTCCCTCGGTCCATCTGCACAGCCACCCACATCTGTAGCCGGTCATCACCTTGACCCCAGATCCGTGCCCTCCTCCTCTGGTGACTGCTAAGCATCCCCAGCATCTCCTCGCCTTTGGGGCGACCCCTCTCCACATGGCTGCTAGTGACTGTTCCTAAAGTCAGACTGAACAGCCAGGCCTGGTGGTGCACAGCTGTGACCTCAGCACTCTGGAGGCTGAAGCAGGAGGATCACTGGGAGTTTGAGGCCAGCCTGGGCTACATAGTGAGACCTTGTCTCAAAAACAAACAACAAAAGACACTGTGTGAAGGTATTCCGAGTCTTGGCCTCTGAGTTGGGGCAAACCCCTCACTGGGTCTCAGAGCCTGGAGACTCCAGGGCCCACTGGGCAGGGCTGCCCTGGGCTCCGTTTCTGACCCGGCATCGGCCCTGGGCTCAGAAATGCCACCCTTGATGTCTGATCAGCTCCACAGCCATCTGATGTTTCATCTCTGGGCTGCCTCAGCTCCAGTGCCAACCCCGCCTCCCCTGAAGAATGTTCTTTGTCTCTCTGCTTGCCCCTCCTGTTGGTGCTCTCTGTTCACCGCAGATCCCCGGGGCCCCGCAGTGAGCTCCCCATCCCCACACCCCGTGCCAGGCTGGCAAGACAGGTGCTGAGGAGGAGGGGAGGGAGGGCAGGCTGGGGGGGGTATCCGTTCTCACCGGTGCCCCGAGTGGGCTTTGGGCGACAAGGGGCGCAGCCTGGCCACACCAGGGCTCCATCTTCTCATCTCAGAGTCCCGGCCCCTCTGCTGCCCGGGCGGGGCTCTGATGCTGTCCCGAGGACCTGTTGGGAGCTGCTGGAGCAGAAACTGTCTCCTTTCTCATGGTACTGGACACTGAACCCAGGGCCTTTGCACTGAGCTGTATCTCCCCCGCCCAGCCTTAGTTCTTTTTTTTTTTTGGTACCAGGGATCGAACTTGGGACCTTGTGCTTGCGAAGCAGGCAGTGGAACCACTGAGCTAAATCCCTGGCCAGGCCCTTCTTTTTTGAGACAGGGTCTCCCTATGTAGCCCAGGCTGACCCCGAACTCTCAGCGACCAGGATCAGCTTGCTCTCAGCCTCCAGATGCTGGGGTTCCAGACTTGCGCCACCGCGCCCAGCGCCTCGCTGCTTCCTTCGGCCCTGCGTCATCGTCTTGTTTCCTCCTCTGGGATTGGCCACCCAGCAGGATTCTGAGCAGAGCCTCGTCCCTGGGCTTGGTCACAGCTCAGAGCAGCAGGCTGTGGGGTTCCGGACTTGGGGTGCCCCAGCCCCAGGGAGCACAAGGCCCCAAGCCCCCGAGGGGGAGCCGGGCCTTTCTGACGGAGGAAATGAAAACTAACTGAATTCACACGGAACCTGACTTCTGGAGTGCGCTGGGCGTCCGCTTAGGCAACACCCGAGGGGCAGAGGCGCCGCCCCTCCCTGGTCCCCGAGAGCTCGGCCGCCTGGGGCTGGCGCTGGGCCGGGGCGGGGCCGCCTCCGGGAAGGCAGCAGCGAGGGCCGGGCCGAGGATCCGGACGCCAACGCCGCCCCTGTCCGCGCGGTCACCGTCGCAGCCGCCGAGGACGCCGAGCTGGCGCGAGTGACCCGGGCGCGTGGGGCCGCGCATTCCTCGGGGCTTCCGTCACCGGCGCCGCTCAGCCACAACACATGAGCTCAGCGCCCGGCCGCCCTCCAGCGCCCGCCTCCCCTTCGGCCTCCACAGCCCGGGTGTCTGAGCTGCGCCCCCGTATGGGCTCTGCGCTGGCCCTGCCCCCGGGGAGCCCAGATCATCCGAGGCTCCAGGCAGGGGCAGCACCCCTCTCTTCGGGGCTCCCGGTTCCCCAACTCTGGGGCGTGGACACTCCTGGAGGGAGGCTCAGCCCGGGCCGCTGGGGTTGGGCCCAAGGCGCCCTCCCACAGAGACAGCGTCTGGCAGCACTGCCCAGGCCGGCCTTGAACTTGCCATCCTCCTGCCTCGGCCTCCCAGTGCCCTGGGATCACAGGTGTGCGCCCCCACGGCTGGCTTCCACTCTCAGCCTCCGAATCCCAGGTCTGGGGCAGGGGCTGCCAGCTTGATTCTCCGAGGTCCCAGAGGGGAGGCCCCACAGCCCTGCACCCGCATCTCCCAGGGCCTGGCAGGGGCCCAGCTGCTCCATGTGCGGAGCGGGTGCAGAGGTGCCTGGGGTGACAGGTCCTGGGGACCGGCCCTGCCCTGCCTGCCCTCCCACTCCAGCCTCGGGCGTCACCCTGTGGCTGCCCTGCAGTGCACTTGGGGCTGCAGCTGTCACCCCAGCCACCCCAGGACCCTTTGGCCATCGTCCCTGGAGACGGAGGTCCCCGTGGCTGTGTCAATTTGTCCCCTAAAAGCCTGACGCCCACCCTTGCCCAGAGCCGCTCTGCTCTCGTCCTGGATTGGAGGTCGACCCGGGCAAGTCGCTGGTTGTCAGCGAGGCTGTTTCTTCTGTGGAATGGGGTCAGCAGCTGCCCTTGCAGCGCTGTGCTGAGGAATAAAGAGGGTGACACAGCCAGGCTTCAGGCCCAGGCTGGGATGCAGCCTCCCGTCGAACCAGGGCTTCAGAAAAGGATTTCAAAGCCAGGCATGGTGGTGCACATCTGTCATTCTGCCACTCAGAAGGCTGAGGCAGGAGGATCGCCATGAGTTTGAGGCCAACCTGGGTTACATATCGAGACCCTGTCTCAAAACACCAAAGGGGAAAGAGAGAAGAAAAAGGCTTCGCACTCTGTCCCGCGGGTTCCTGGCGTGGCCTGCTTTCCTAGCCCGCGGTGGTGTCCGGGCAGGAGGGAGCTGGGGAGCAGCTGTTTCACCCCCTCCGAGCTCAGCTCAAGAAAGGGTCAGAGCTGAGCCAGCTGGGGCCAGCGATGGCTCAGGCCCGCCCCGGCTGTGGGGGGGTTCTTGGGCTCCAGGTGGGGTGCACAGGTTCAGCCCCCAAGCTTTGGGGCGAAGTGCAGTTTTCACCTTTTCCCGGAGCAGCATGGCAGACTTGGAGCTTGGAGTCCATGGGCCTCAGTTTCCCTGTCTGCAAAGTGAGTAGGGCAGCCAGATCTGGGGTACCCCTAAGGTGTTAGGGACCCCCAGGGCTGTTCCAGGAGTCGAGGGCCAAGTTTCCCTGTTTATGCCCCCGAGGATGCTGGCTGGGACAGTGCACAACCGGAGCTCCAGTGCTTGGCTGCCCCTCCACCTGGTGCCTGGACCTCCCCCACTGCCCTCCCTCCAACCATCTGCGGTCTGATGAAAGCTGCCAGTCCCCGCCCTGGGAAAACACAGAGGAAAAAAATGTCTGCAGATTACGGGTCCCTTATCTGGGATGCTGGAACCAGGTTTTTGGGGATTTTTTTCCAATTTCAAAATATTCGTGCACAGTAGGAGATGAGGTGGGGCGAATCCAGGCCAGAACAGGAATTCATCTGCTTCCTGTGTGCCTTGTGCATATAGCCTGAAAGGAGTTTTTGTTTTATTTCTTTGGGTTCTGGGATCAAACCAGGGCCTCATCCACCCGGGGCCCTTTTGAGAGAAGTTGTATAGGCTGGCCTCGAATTTGAGATCCTCCTGCCTCAGCCTCCAGAGTGGCCAGGGTAGAGGTGTGTGCTGCTGCGCCTGGCATGAGGTAACTTTATATAATATTTTAAGTAATCCTGCATGAAACACAGTGTCCTGGTGTGGAAGTTCCCTCCTTGCTGCTCCAACAGTTTGGGGTCTGGGGCGATGTAGTCACGTGGATGGCTGATGCTTTGGGGAAGAATCTGACTTCAGTTTGGGAACGTGGCTGGTGGGCGGGGCCACAGGGAGCATAGGTGGGAGGAGCCCGGAGCCCCGCGGGCGGCCGCATGCCGCGGTCCTGAGGGTGCCTGTGGCGCGGAATGAGGGAGTCCGGCAGCCCCCCGAGGGCGCCGCGAGCGTCTCCTCCCTAGGGCTGTCGGCCCCCAGTGAAAGCCCCGCCCCCTGGACGGCGATGACGTCAGCCTTGGCCGCCGCCGCTGCCTGCCTGTCCGCCTTTCAGCCACCCGGGATTTATTGCCACCTGCTTTTCTGGGATCTGGCAGCAGCAGAGAGCTGGAGAAAGGGTTTTGAATCTGTCCCAAGGAAATAATTCAGAAGAAGAAAAGCACCACAGGCGAGGAGGTGTCTGGTGCGGTGGTCCCACCAGTCAGAGGGGCCTGGGGCTCTCGTACTGGGGTAGCCACGCGTGCACACTTCTCCCTGTCCCCCGCAAGTGCCCCGTGGCCAGGGTGGGCTCCTGGCCCACGTCTGTGTCGTGAATGAGGGAAGGAGCGAGACTTTATGGCAAGTCTCCCCCCTTCCTCCCCTTCTCCGGTGCTGGGTTCGAATGCAGAGCCCTCTACCACTGAGTTCCCTCCCCAGCCCTCTTTATTTTTCATTTTTCAACCCAATCTCACTAAGTCGCTAAGTTACTTAGGCTGGGCTCAAACTTGGGATCCTCCTGCCTCAGCCTACCCAGTAGCTGAGAACACAGCCGTGCACCACCATGATTTTCAGGGCAAGGCCTCTAAACAGAGCTCTTCTGACCACAGTGCTGGGATGAAATGTCACAACCTGATTTGTCACTTGCCTTACAGAGCTTGCTAAAAACGCTTCTCCCTCTCTCTTTTTTTCTCTTTGATGGTGCTGGGGTCAAACCCAGGCCCTTTCACACGATGAGCTGGGCCAGGGCCCTCTAGACTTCGGTTACCTGATCACTGGCTTCCTCCGGGCCAGCAGTCCCAGCTATGTGCCAGCTGTGCCCATCAAGCATCCCCAGAGCCGTAACATGGGTGTCACTTTGCAGTTGGGGAGGCCCAGGCTCAGCGTGCTGGGTGTGCGGTCTGCAATGACCCAGGCCCCACTGCCCCTGCAGGAGCATGGGACTCCCCTCCTCTGCTCCACCTCTCCCTTTGGTCTGGACCCCGAGGACCTGGTCTTCTAGGAGTGCTAGAAGGGACAAGGAGGAGGGTTTGTCATGTTTTGTTGTTTGCAGTCCCAGCCTTTTAAAATTTATTTTGTATTTTGAGACAGGGTCTTGCTAAGTCACTAAGTTGCCCAGGGTGGGCTCAAACCTGCGATCCTCCTCCCTCAGCCTCCCAGAATGCTGGGATGACAGGGGTGCCTGGCTCATTCTAAGGTATAAACATGGTCCGTGTTTTCCACTGGAGGCCAACGCCAGGCATCAGGCACAGCGCTCCTGCCTTCCCTAACCCCGAGGCTGTGTCATGTGACCTCCTCTCCGTTAACACACGAGTGTGGTCGTGACACGAAGGCCACACGTCACAGCCACACGTTCTTTCCAGACTCGTCCCCTTTGCTCCCAGGCAGCCCTGGTGAGGGAAGGGCTCTCCATCCAAGCACTGGGAGAGAGCCATGCTTGGAAGCCTGGCCACCGACGTGGGTCCACAGTGTGCCACTCACAGATGGTGTCAGGCAGGGACCCCGCTTCCCTGGCAAACACCAGCCCCCGGGTGCAGAACCCCACAGGGCCTCCCTCCGTCCTGTGCAGGGAGTTGTTTTCCCAGAAGAGCCGGGCAGAACCCTGCATCTGGAGCCCCCTTCGGCCACCGACAGGGCAGCTGTCAACTGTCCTTGCCGGCCCCAGGGCACTGGGCTCTCCCCATGCTCCGCCTCTTGGTTCTTCCTCTCTCTGTTCCATTTTCTGCAAACCTTGAACACCTGAACATTTTGAAACACCTTCAAGAATATCTCAAATCCATGCACCTCTCCACTGCTGCGAGGCAGCCAGCAGCCCCGGTGCTGCTGTCTTTTGTCTGTCTGCCCCCTTCAGGGCCACGGCCTCAGTTTAGAATTCTCTCTCTGACTGCTCATTTGTGATCTGCTTTCCAAGCTGGAAGAAAGGGGAGGCGTGTGTTTCTCTGGCCATTTCTTTGTAGCCCAAAGCAAACCAAATACTTAATAGGTCGTGGATGGCTGGATGGGGAAATTTAAATTAGTGATGTCACCAGGCTTTGCAGCTCCAGGAGCCCCTGCTGGACATGGGGACCATGTCAGGGCTGGCTAGATGGCACCATGCAGCCCAGGCCTCCAGAGACCTCCAGGTCTGGGGGCCATGTCCTGAAAGGGGGGACCCCACCCTGCAGCCCATGGGAACACGCTCTGGCCGCAGCACCGAGGCTCTCTGATCCCCCCAACATCTGGACCCCATCTGAGGCCCAGAGAAGCCTCAGCCCTCTGACCAGGGTCTGCTGGACCACCAGCCTCCGAAGCCACCTGATAAGAGGCCAGACGCTGACACCACCTGGGTGACATCAGGGCTGGTGACATCTGACTGAGTGGAGAGATGTGACCTAGCCATGCCTCGCCCAGGCCTGCACAAGGGTGTTGCCCTCGCCATGCATTTCCTCAGCGGAGCTATGGGCGCAGGACCAGGCTGTCCCAGGGGCAGACCATGCAATCTGCACTCCGGACTTGGCCTGTTCCAGAACCCAGGGAGGGTGCTGCCTTCAAGCGGGGTGCCTGCTGGCTGGGGACAGTCGCTGGCTTCCCCTAGCACCCCATGGGTTCTGTGTTCTGGGAATGGGGGGCCCAGGCTCCGCAGAGCCCTGTGTGGTGAAGGTGGTCTCCACAGCTGTGCACTGCACTCCACTCCTGGCCGGCTGCAGAGGACACTTCTGTTTGTGTTTCTGGAGATGATTTAAACCCAGTTTTCCAGGAATGTGGATCCCACCTGAGCCCTGAGCCAGGGTGGGGAGCATGAGGCTGGGGCTGAGCTGTCTGGGGAACGGAGGGCCCGGGTCCTTTGCCTTGCTGTCTCTGTACTTGGAGGGGAAACCCCACCCTGCCGCCCTCCTCCCTGGCTCCCTGCACACAGGCGTGCACATGCGCACACACAATGCACACACTCCTGTATCCAGGACAGAGTGCTCTGCTCCTGCAGGAGGCTGGAACCCGCGGCTGGAAGGAGGGGCCAGGCCCATCCACCCGCTATGGTTCGCTGTGCGAATTAGTGGCCCCAATGTCCTACCTGGGCTGTTTGTGGCCACAGAGCGGAATCTTGCTGGGCCTGGAGCATCTGTGATGAAAGTTCCGACAGCGCATGCCCACACCAAGGGGCAGCTTTGGGAGGCTCTGGGGCCAGCAACAGAGGGGCTCAGAGGAGGCTGAGTCGGATTTGTTTTCCGAGAACTCCATCCCCCCCGCCCTGTGACCGCATGTGGCCTTCATGCACGGTTGACAGCTCTGTGGCTGCAAAATCAATCTTGCTCCGCGGGGACACTGGCTCCTGACCCCGTGGCCCCTGGTGCAGCAGCTCTCTCCGCAGATGTCCCCGGCAGGGAGTCGGGCGGAGCCTGGCCCCTGCCCAGCAGCTCCTGTCCTGGGGAGCCTGGCTGTCACAGTCACTGTCCCCCACTGCCCACCGCCCCTGTGCCGTCTTCCCGCAGAGGACAAGTGGCCTGGCGCGGACAGGAGGACAGTTCCTGTGGCCTGGGCCAGGGGTGGCAGGGCCAAGGGGGGTTGGGATTGAGCTCCTCAGAGCCTCGAGGCTGGGGCCCGGCTCAGGGCTCATCTCTTCCTATGGAGGATTTGTGGCCCTCCTGGGGTTCAGGCACAGGACGCAGCGCCTTCATCCCCTAATCCCCTCTGTATCCCCGGTGCCAGCAGAGGACACAAAGCCCCTCTTTGTTGGGCCCCGGGGCAGGGGAGGAGTCAGGGTGCGCTCCTGACCGAGCTCCATCTGGCCTGTCTCGGTGAAGTATGGAGAGGGCCTTCTTCCGAGGTGGGCACTGCCCACCCCGCCCAGGGCTGAGGATCCAGGAGGACCCAGCTGCGGTCCTGGCCCTCCCAGTGCCTGGGGAGCCCGCAGCTGCCCCTGGAGTGCACCCATGTGTGGGTGTGGAGCCGCGTGGGGACGTGTGTGGGGCCGAGGTACACGTGTGCCCTGGGACCAGTGCGTTTCGCATCTGCCTCTGCCCAGGCAGCCACTTCCCGGGGCTCCAGAAGTTGTGGGGAGCTGTGTGGCGGGGCGGGGAGGCTGTGACCTGTGCCCCCCGCAACCCAGGGCCTGAGAAGCCAGCCGAGGAGGAAAGGACTCCAGGCCCTGCTGAGCCATCTGTCCTGGGGGAGGAGGAAGTGGGAGGGTCCCTGCCCCCCTGCCCTCCGCCTCTGAGGCCAGCCTCCAGACACATCTGGGCCGCAGCTGCTGCGCCATCCTGGCCTCTCAGGCCTCTCTGAAGGACAGGAAGGCAGAGCCCGGCGAGCTCTCTGGACCCCCTCGGCTCCTCCCCAGGCTGGGGTCACGGAGGTTGGACTCGGTTTCCCCAACTGTGACCCAGGGCCAAGAGCAAGGGCGGGCATGCTCAGAGACAAGAAGGTGCACAAAAGTTCAGGAGAGAGCTGGCCGGAGGGTGGGGAGGCGGGACGCACCAGCAAGCCCTGCCAGGTGACGGGAAGGGAACGATGCTGTTTGCTGTGTTTTTTCTGGTACGGGGGATTGAACTCAGGACCTTGCACTTGCCAGGCAGGCGCAGCGCCACTGAGCTGCATCCTCAGCCCCAGCTGTTTTGGTTTTTTGAGACAGGGTCTCAATAAACAGTCCAGGCTGGCTTTGAACTCACTATGAATCTCAGGCTGGCCTCGAACTGGGGTGACCCTCCTGCCTCAGCCTCCTGAGTGCTGGGATCACAGGCAGGGAAGAGTTTTAAGAACACCTCTGTGTGCAACATTGATAGAACCTTGGGGCTCATCTCTGCCAGCTTTGACCCAGGGGAAACTGAGGCCCAGAGCGAAGAGAGCAGATCATGGTTATGCTAGGCATCTGCCAGGGAGGGGTGGACTGGTGACAGCCTGGCCTGGACTCGGTGTCCTCACCACCCTTGGGATCTGCAGGGGAAGCCTCGGCCGCTGCTCCCTATCTGTCTAGACGGCCTGGCCGGAACTGCGCTCCGGCCGGCTCAGGAAGTCTGTGGCAGGGCCCTGCAGGACGAGCTGTGACCCCGCAGAAGCTGCTGACGTTGCCGGAGACATGACACAGACCATTCCCCCGTAATTGCCGCCTGCAGACCTTCCCAACCCTCTCCTGGGAGGCCCTGCCGTCGTCCTTGAGTGCGGAGTGATGCGATGTCTCTGGCGGCCCAGCCTATGCAGAACCAGCCCAGCTGATGTAAGGCGCAAGGCAGAGAGGCCGACGGCTCTGGAGCGGGATGCGCCCGTCAGGTGGGGAGAGCCCGGTGCTGGCCGAGTGTCCAGAGGTTAATTCTCAACAGATGGGCGCGCTTTCCCCTTTCCCGCTCTGTTCCCGGGGATCTACTCAGCTCCTCCCACACCCACCAGGCCCTGCCGGGGGCTCAGGCTGCAGGCTGTGGGCTGAGGCAGGCAGGGCTGGGCGTGTCAGGAAGGCAGGCCGTCTACACTGCAAGGTGCCTGCCAGCCCTGTCTTCACCCTGCTGCCAGCTTTGTGTCTCTAGCCACAGGCACCACAGGACCGACCCCTCCTTTTTTCTTATTCTTTCCTCCAACCCAGAGCAGAGCCAGGTGAGGTGAGACACACCTGTCAACCCAGAACTCAGGAGGCCAAGGCAGGAGGATCTCGGAGAGTTCAAGGCCAGACCCTGTCTCAAAAAAATGTATAAATGAATAAAAATAAAAGGGGGTTAAGAGACATAATGAACGGGGAGTTCTGTGTAATTTCTGGGTTTTTCTTTGATGGAGTTGAAATTCATTTCAGACACAGTGCACTCTTTTAGGGTGAATCATCCCGTGGCACTGCGTGTGCTCACAGTGTTGGGCCCTCATCACCTCCCTGGCTTCAAACTTTCCATCAAGCCGGATGTCCCAGGCCCTTGCCCGAGCTCCTCCCTCCTCCCACCTCATGGGTTCCCCAACTGCTTTTTATCTGCAGGATTCTCCGGTTCTGGATCTGCCCCCTAAAGGAATATCAGATAGGTGACTTCAGTGTGGAGATTCCCTCTGGGCAGGTTTCCAGGGTCCTTCCTCTGCAGTGTAAATTAGTTCTTCATCCCATCCTCAGGGCACGTAATATTCCACTGTCTTTATCCACCACAGCCTGTCCATCCACTCAGTGGGTCTGGGCTGTTCCTGTGTCCTGTCCATCATGAATAATGGAGCCATACACATTCCTGTGCAGACTTCGGTGTGGACATATGTTTTCACTTTTCTTGGGGATGGACTTAGAAATGGATCACTGCATCATAAATAATTCTATGTTTAACTTTTTATTTTTTTTTTGGTACCGGGGATCGAACTCAGGTCCTTGCGCTTGCACAGCAGGCGGCGAAACCACTGAGCTAAATCCCCGGCCTTCTATGTTTAACTTTTAAAAGAATCAACCAGCTGTTTTCCAAAGCAGTGGCCCCACTTTTCATCCCTTTGGCAACGTGCGAGGGCCCTGTTCTCTGCTCCGTGTCCTCTCCTTCCCTTTTCTGTCGTGGTTACGCCCATCTCCGTGGATGCAAGACACCATCTCAGAGTGGTTTCAATTTGCAGCTCTTTGTTGACCAGCGATGTGGGACACCTCATGCTCTCGCTGCCCATCTCTCTTGGGGAAATGTCTTTTCAAGTTCGTCACCTGCATTTCAATTGGATCCTCTTTTTGTGAGAGTCCTTTATTCTGGCCACTAAATGTTTATCTGATACATACTGGGAAATATTGCCTCCCATTGCATAAGTTGTCTTTTCACTTCTTGATATGTCTTTTGATGCACAAAGCTTTTTAATTTTTATGATATCCAATTTATGTAAATTTTTGTTGCCTCTCAAGTCTAAAAATTCACTGCCAAAGCCAGTGTCATGAAGACTCACCTCTATGTTTTCTTATATGTTTTAGCTCTTGGATTAGTCCACTTTCCCATCAGTGGGACAAAATACCCAACACTTACAACTTAAAGGAGGGGAGGTTTACTTTGGCTCACAGTTTGGGGGGATTCAGTCCATGGCTGGCTGGTTCCAAGGCAGAAACAGCATGGTGGAAGAGCATGAAGAGCAATTCTGCTCTGTTCCAAGAGCAGAAACAGCAAGGCAGAGGACAGCTGCTTACCTCACAGCAGTCAGGAGGCAGAGAGAAGGCAGGGAGGAAGCCGGGTGAGGAGCCGGCTACTTTCTAGAAGCAGACACCCAGAGCCCACCTCTTCCAACCAGGCCACACCTCCTAATAGGATATTAGCTATGAAGTCATCAATGAGTTAATCCACTGATGAGTAGAGTCCCATAATCCAATCACCTTCCAAAAGCCTGTCTCTGAATACACGAGACTTTTGGGGGACATTTTAGATTTCAACCAAAACATTTTGCCCCTAAATGGCTCATGCCCATATCATTATGCGAAATGTATTCGGTCCACCTCCAAGAATCACCCAGTCCTAACAGTTCCAGTGCTGCTGAAAAGTCCAGGTCCAAAGTCTCCTCTGAGCCTCAAGCTAAGAGTCTTCCTAGCTGTGAGTGCCCTTAAAAATCAAAAAGAAAGTTAAACACTGCCAATCTGTAATAGCCCAGTATAAACACTCCCATTCCAAAAGGGGGGAAGAAGGAGATAAGGAACCAGACCAAAGTAAGACTGAAACTCAGTGGGGCAAACATTAAATCCTGTAGTTCCGTCCTCTCACTGCCTGTGCTGCTCCACAGCAGATGATGCACTCTCCTGGCTTCTGCAGCCTCCTGGGGTTTCCACTGAACTTTCAGCTTCGCACAGCCTCAAACACGGCCCTCTCAGGGGCACACTCTGGGCTCCCAGGCCTCCCTTGGAAATCTGAGTGGAAGCCTCCCTGACCTGATTACTCTTGCATTCTGCATTATGTGGATGGTGCCCAAGGCTGCTGCCGGCTCAAGCAGTAGCCAGGCCCCCTTGGATCATGGCTGCAGAGAACTCTGGGTGCCTGGATGACTGAACTTGGGGAAATGAATTCAAGGGAGCTAATTCCCACATGAGGATAGGAGTAGGGCTGACTGCCCAAGAGCTTTGCTAGGTTCTGGAAAAAACAAATGAAATGTGTGAAGAGTTTCATCCTCAGGGGGCTTAGCGGGTGAGAGATGGTGGTGATTGGGGTGAAATATGCGATACAGTGTGTACAATAAAAATAAGCACAGGGAACTGTAGAGTCTTCAGGGAGAAGCCAGGCAGTGTGTGCGTGCATTAGTGCGTGCGTGCGTGTGTGTGTGTGTGTGTGTGTGTGTGTGTGTGTGTGCATGCTTCCTGGAGGAGAGAAAACAACAGGAGCTGTTAGGGTATCGGGCTAAAATCTCATGTGTTCAGAGCTGATGGGCTTTGGGGGAGCAACTGTGGCTACTCCCATTCATTAGGACTCTATGGTCATCAAATGGATTAACTCACTGATGAGCTTATTACAAGGTGGGACCTAACTGGAGGAAGTGGCCACAGCACTGTGGTTCTGCAGGATGCACTGTCCCCAGTCCCCTTCTCTCCGGCTCCCTCCCTCTCCCTCTGCTTCCTGGCCACCATGAGGTGACCCTCTGTCCTCTGCCAGGCCCTTCCATGGTGATATTCCTACCAGGCCTCGGGTCTAGAAGCACCAAAGCCAGTCGACCATGGGCTGAAGCCTCTGTAGCCAGGAGCCAAAATGAACCCATCCTCCTCTACGCTGTGCACCAGGTGTCTGTCCCAGCCACAGAAAGCCCTGTTGTGATGACCGGGGACAGCACCGTGAGGAGCCTGGGGTTGCTGACAGGAAAAGTGGCCTCAGGCAATGGTGATGCTGAGCTGGAGAGAAGACCTGGGTGGGAGGGCCCGGGGTGCCATATTGGCACCCGCACTTCATTCTGTGGTGCTGCAGAGGCCCTGGGGGTAGCCTGGGGCACCTGCTGGGCAGAGCACTGATGTCTGGGAGATGAGGGGGCAGGAGCACCCATGAGGGACACTGGGAACACTGGGGACACCAGGGAGGGCTGGGGGCAGAGCCTGTGGCACCTGGATGGGGGGGCATGGAGGCGTGGCCTCATGGGTCCCAGCTCTGGCCACTGAGGAGGGTGTGGGTTAGCCCCTCAGATCCCCTCTCCTGCCAGAGCCTCCAGGGCCCCGAGGACCGGGAAGGACAGTGTTGCCCTGTGCCAGGCTGGAGCTCCCTCCTGGGGTCCCTGGGAAGAGAGGAGATGAAGTCATGGAACAGAGGGATTAGAGTACATTTCTTTCCTTCTCAACAATGGAAACTCTGGGCTGTAGGGAGCGGGGAGTCTTGGGAGGGGCCGATGAGGCCATGGTTTTGAAACAGGAGCCACCAGGGAGTGGCCGGCATAATGACAAACAAGTTTCTCTCCCTCCTTGTGCTGAGTGGGCATGACCTGGCCTGTCTAGCCTTGTGTGACTCCTTCCACCTGGCTGGCTGCTCGCCTGTCACCCACGAGGTCACCTCCTGGAGAGACAGAGAGAAAGGTGAACAAGCAGCTGTGGCTGGGAGGGCTTGAATTCATGTCTAGCTCCAGCCACTTTTGGGCTAGGCCAACTAAGACCAGCACTGCAGCTGCCCTGAACCCCTCAATAATGAGCCTCCCTCAGCTTTGACTTCCGGAGCTTGTCACCCACCCTCACCTCGAGGATCCAAAAATATGCAGTGGAATGTTCCAGAAATAAACAATCCACGTGTTCTTGGCGACCTTTACTACAGTGCATTGCTGCAGCACCGTGTTTCGTGATTAGCGCGTGCAATGACCGTGGCTTGGTCGGTTCTCCTTCCTGAGTCTCTGACACCCACAACTCAAAGCAGGAGACTTCATTCTGGCCCAGGTTTAGTCTGGGGTCGCCAGCTCCAAGGTGGAGAGCTGCTGGCTTCGGAAATGACAAAGGAGGTGGGGAGGGAGGTGAAGCCTCCGGCCACACCCAGGGCAGGATCTCCTTCCTCCAAGCGGGGGAGACCGTGGGGACCTAGATGGAAACCATAACATTGCATGTCCTGCTTAACTTAGACGTGAAACTTCACCTGGAAGGCAGAAAGCAGTTTCAGGCTCCACTGGGGCCCCAGAGTGTCTCCCCCAGGTAAAGGGGGGCTACTGCATTTCCGTTTCCTCCTGGTCCACCATGTGCTGCTGCACAGGGAGAGCCGCCTGGGCCCACAGGCTCCCTGCACCAGGCCAGGGCCCCGGCTCTGGTGTCTAACACGCACACACACGCGGACACACACATGCGCGCACAGGGGCCCTGAGTGGGACGGAGTCCAGGAAGAAGCTGTGCTGCTGGAGGCAGCTCAGGGCCATGGGGCTGGAAGTTCCAGGGAGCCCTGAGGTTGGGGGTGCTGCCTGCAGCCGGATTCACCCAGCTTCGCCCTGGCAGGTCGGCCTGAGGCGCAGGCTCTGCTGTGCTTGGTGAGGCGCGCCCCTCCCCACATCTCTGTCTCTTTCCTGGCGCTCTCCCTGCCTCTCCCGCCTGTTTTCTGTTTCCCTATGAAGAATGGCTAATTCACATGCTGAGGGGCAGGGACAGCACCATCTGTAAGGACAGAGAAGGCCAGTCCGGTCAGGGGCTGAGGCAGGTGCGGCCTGGCTGAGGGCAGCGATACCCAGGAAGAGGAGCAAATGCAGCTCCGACATCTGGCAGAGCCTTCCCCCTCCCCGGGCCTCAGTTTCCTGGTCTGTAGAATGGGCACTGTGAGGCCCGCCCGGCACAGAAGCTGGATTCGGGACAGGCTGAGTAAACGTCAACCACAGTCATCCCTATGAGCCCGCACTGGAAAACATGGCATAGTTTTGAACCCAGAGCCTTGGTCTCCTTGGCTGAGAATCCCCTTTATTCTTCTGAAGCATGTTGTCACCAAGGCCCGGAGCTGCCTGGGCATAAGCAGTAGCCGCTGCTCCAAGAGCACGTGCAGGCCTAGCCGTGTGTCCCCCCCCCCCCCCCCGCCCCAGGCAGGTGACCTCGGCTCAGTCGCTTCCTCCCCCCAAGGCATAGGGGGTTGAGGAGCCCATCAGCCCTGTCCTGTCGGGTGGGGCCTGGCCAGGCTTCCCCAGCTCCCCAGCTTGGAGCTGCTCCCCCGGGGAACAGAACAGAGAGGGGTGAGCTTAGTCATCCTGGTCTTGCCCCAGCACGATGACTTTCAGGCCCTCCAGCTCCACAGGGAATCCGAGGGAGGAAACACTGCTTTTGAGTTAAAATGTAAAATGTCCGTGCTGAGACCACTCTGCACCCGGCCCGGGACAGTGAGCTGCATCTCAGGGGCCCCAAGACTGGGCTGGGTCCCACCGCAGGGAAAACCCAGCTCAGCAGGGCAGGGGGCGTCTTCCAGGGCCTGGCGGCAGTGGGGCAGAAGCAGGATTCCAACCTGCGGCCCTTGTGTGGCCCGTGTTCATCCGCCCCCACTTTCCTGGGTGACACTGTGAGGGGCCCTCGAGCCCTCACCCTTGGGACAGGGCTGCAGGGCGGGAGGGCCTCTGGCCATTTGGCGGGGCTCCATTTGCTCTGCCTTTTGGCACAGACCAGAGAGGCACCTGCAGCTCCTTCCCACGCCTTTAGAGGGAAGGGGTCAGGGTTGTGGCAGAGGAGCACCTGGCTCCTGGGGACAGTTCTGGTCCAGCCCCATCCTGTTTATGAGTAAGATGAGAACGTGAGGATGCAGCGGGCAGCGGGTGCTTTACATCAAGCGGGGCAGAGCTGGCGGCCTTTCTGTCTGTACTTGAGCGGCGTTCACACTGGGGGCATCACTCCCGGTTAGTGTCCTCCGACGCTCCGCCCCGCCCACCTCCCAGTGGGAAGCAGGAAATGCATGGGCAGGAGAAAAGGCAGGCGCCAGACCTTTATGGAAACAGGGCCTCCTTTCTTCAAAAAGGGGAAAAGGCTTCTGCCAAAAAATTAAATGCTTCCAGCTGGGCGCAGTGGTGCACACCTGTCGTCCTAGCACTTGGGAGGCTGAGGCAGGGAGATTGCTGGGAGTTCAAGGCCAGCCTGGGCTACAGAGGAGACCCTGTCTCAAACAACACACACAGGGGCCAGGGGTGTAGCTCAGTGGTTCTGCTGCCTGACTCACAAGTGCAAGGGCCCGAGTTCCATCCCCGGTACCAAAAAAAAAAAAAAAGAAAAGAAAAGAAAAAAGAAAGAAAAGAAAAAAGCACACAAAACCAAACAAAAAATAAATAATGGAAGAAAATTAAGTTCTTCCTGTCCAGAATGGTTTTCCCAAAGCCCCTTTCCTTTCGGAAGTTGGTGGGGTCCTAGGGAAATGCCAGGGAGGGGCCACAGCTCAGAGAGCCGGGTCTGGTGATGCTGGCCTCCCTTTGCCCTGCGCAGGTGTGACAGACGCGGAGGAGGACCCAGGGACCTGCAGCCAGGAGCCTGAGGTGGCCGGGGCCCTGGCCTCGGGGCTTCAGATTGTAACCAGCTTCCTGGGCGGCAGGCAGGCAGGGTGCTGCGCGCTGGCAGAACAGCGCAGTGGGATTTTAAGGAGAAGCTGAGAGTCCCATTATGTTCGTTCCCCTTCGGAACGTTGGCACAGCCCAGTGGGGCGAGGGTGGGGCAGGTGCTGCCAGCACCGGGTGATTCAGTGCAGCAGGGCGGAAGTGCAGTGTGGAAGCCAAGCGCCACGTGTGGGACCCCGGGTCCCTGGCTGAGCAGAGCCCTGAGGCCTCCCGCCCGGCCCCGTCACCTCTCCCCTCTGTCATCTGGGCCGACGTGCACGGGACCCCTGACTCTCAGCCCTGACCAGTCCATCTTAAAGGCCGATCAGAAAGCCCAGGGAAACCCCGGCACTGAGTAGAGGCTCACTTAATGCTTCCTCCCCTTCCTTCCCCGGAAGCGAAGACGAGGCTCACTTGAGGGGTCGTGAGGCCTGGGACAGACCCTGGCAGGGCTGGGCCACCCCGGGCAGGTTCGGGCTTGGACTCATCACCTGTTCCTGGTGATGGGACTGGGATGACACCAGCCACACAGAACCAAGCCCAGAATGGAGGCGGGATACAGAGAATCTGAGGACCTTTCCTGCTCCTTCCCACGAAGGAAGGAGCTGGGCCAGGAGCCCAGGCGGAGAGGCCGGAAGCGGGAGGGCTCAGACTGGCCACAGCGGCCCCACCAGGCTGGCTCGAAGCTGTTCCGGGTGGAAACCCGCAGACAGGGGAAGGCAGGCGGTGGGAGGGGTCACCGTGCCGGGAAGGCTGCAGCCCGGCCCAGTAACACCCTCCCGCCCTGACTGAAGAGGGGGTGTCTGAAGCCCCCCATCCTCCCACAGAAGAGCCACGCCCCTCGTCTCTGTGTCTAAGTGGAGGCGCCTTCCTCCTCTGTGTCAGTGTAACATTTCACATCTTACCATGCTTTGTCATTATTGTTCTAAATCTCACATTCTTGCCTGCTCTCCCAGCACTTGGGAGGCCGAGGCAGGAAGCTCACTGTGAACTCAAGGCCAGCCTGGGTTACACAGTTACACCCTGCCTCAAACAACAACAGACAGACAAACTAGGATGGACAAGGGTGGGTTATTCCGTGGTCAGGGACCTGAGGAGCCGCAGGTCAGGAGGGAGAGGCGCTGGAGCCTCTGATTCCCATGACAGTGGGACACACACCAGGCCAGGGCACGGGGTGGGGCTGACTGGCTGCTGATTGGTTCTGAGGAGCAGAGAGGTGACGCTACGGAGTCCAGGCTTGTGGCCAGTGTGGGTGGGGAGGTCACCATGTGGTAACTGGGATGCAGGACCCGGGCAGTGTGCTGAGATGGAGGCACATGTAGTCATCTAGGAAGCAGCAGGCGGAGACCATGCAAGACCCACGTGGGGAGCGGCCAGTTGGGCAGGAGGCTTGTGTCCTAAATCAGCTTTGCCACTGCCCTGTCCAGCTCCAGTGACAAATGGGCCCAGGTCCCAGTGGCTCGGAGGAAGCCTCTGTTACATTTTATTTTTTTGAGACTGGATCTATGTAACCCAGGCTGGCCTTGAACTTGTGGCTTCTCCAGCCTCAGCCTCCTAGTGCTGGGATCACAGGTGTGCTCCACTGGGCCCGGCTCACAAGTGTTTCTATGCTCATGGATATGGAAAGGCCTTGGGGTCAGCTCTGGCTCTGCCCCCACCTTGCCCCTTCTGGAGCCCAGGCTAAAGGGGCCACCGCACCCAGCCTAGAGAGAAGGACGGCGGAACCATGGTGACCGCTCGGCTCTTGCCTGGGCAGCGCGGGTCACTTCTCACTTGTGCGAGGCATGGGGACGTCCTGCGGGGATGGCGGGAGGGGACCTTCCTCTGGAGCGGGAGAAAGGTGACCAGGCCCAGGCACAGTTTCCCCAGCTGCCAAACCCCGCTCCTCTGCCTCGGTGGGGCTCAGAGAACCGACGTCAGCCCCGGGGGAAGCGCTGGGAACAGCGCTGCCCAGGCTGGGGCCACGTGGGGAGGGCCGGGGAGGGCTCCGGGGACAGGGACAGGTTCAGCTGGGGACCAGGGGCTCCCTCCGGCCACGGAGAGTGAGCAGCGCGAACAGAGGCTCGAGGCTTTAGTCAGCATCGTGCCCATCCGGGCACAGCTCGAGCTCTGGGGCGCAGGTGCCCCAGGGAGGGCGCAGGGCCAAGATCCAGCTGCAGGACAGGCACTGACCCAGGGACACTGGACACGGGGACCGGAGGAGGGCGGCCCGGAGAGCCTGGGACGCTGGCTTTCTTGATTCTGGTTGCACCGTGGCCGGCTGAACCCAGCCCTTCCCTTGGCTCCCGGATCTTGCTGGGCCGATGTTCCGTGCCGGTCCGGTGACGTCACTTCCGGCCAGTGCCCCCGCGCGCCCGGAAGCACCAGTGCCCAGTCCTGGCCGGGTCCTCCTCGCTCCCTGCTCCCCGGGCTGTCCTATTTTGTTCATTGTTGCTGTGTTGATGAATAGCTTTTGTTTTTTGTTTTTTTTGGTACCGGGGATCGAACTCGGGTCCTTGAGCTTGCGCAGCAGGCGCGAAACCACTGAGCTAAATCCTCTGCTATGAATAGTTCTTTAATGAAAAAGACGGCAGATGCTGGGGCATTTTTTCTTGTCACTTTATTACTAATGTTGCAAACCCTCTGAACTGAAGGGTTTTTTTTTTTGGTACCTGGGATCGAACTCAGGACCTTTTGCTTTCGAGCCAGTCAGCAGAACCACTGAGCTGAATCCCCAGCCCCAAACTGAATTCAACACGAGGGCTGGGCCCGTAGTCACAGAAGAGCACCTGCCTGGTGTAAGCAGTTCCTGGATTCCACCCCGGCGCAGCAAGTTTCCCTTACTAACAAAAGAGCTCATATTCTATTTACTGAGATTGGACTATTTGGTGTCTCATCAGCTAAGGAAATTGGAAGACAAACTTTTACAGCGGGAAAGGAAGGCAATGGATTTGCATAGAAGAAAACTGTTTTTTTTTAAAATTTGTTTTTTCTTTTCCAATGATCAGATCAGCTTTAGAAGAATCCAAAGGCACGATCTGGGTGTAAAGCAGTCTTTCCTAGTTCTTGCTGCTTCTGGACATCAGGTGCCCGTCCAGTGATATTCAGGTTACACTCGAGAGCTGTGGCTCTTAGCTCTGCAGAGAAAAGGGAACTTTGCTTTCTTATTGATTTTATTTCTCCATTCTCTTCTTACAAAATGAATTGAGCTGATACAGTTAGATTGATGTCACCTCAGAAAGTATATGAAATATGCACTAGAAGAGAGTTACACGTGCTCGCTGCAGCCATCTCGCTTGGGGATCACTATGGGGAGGGAGGGTCGTTTCTGCCCAGGAAAGATGAAACCTGCTTGCCAGAGATCCCAGTCTCCCCCTGAAACACCAGCTGGGACCAGAGACCCCGAAGGGGGTGCCAGGGTGGCAGTGTGTCCCTCGCCAGGGCTGTGGTGCCCCGGGCTGCGGTGCCCCGGGCTGCTTGGCCACCTGTCCCTGGGCGACTTCCCCGGAGCTGCAGCAGTGCACTCGCCCACCCCTCAGTAACTGGACCACAGAGGCCTGCCGAGCACACAGGTGCTCCAGGAGGGGCTGCAGGAGGGGCTGGAGTCCTTGGGGAGCACAGGACACGAGGCTGAAGGACGCTCTACCCCAGGGTCTTCCCGGGCCCCACCCGGCCTCTCATGTGGCCTCCTGTGCCTGGGACAGGGGAGCCACTGTCCAGGCCTGAGCTCCCAGTGTGGACATGGGGAGGGCTTCCATCGGAAATCGCAGGGTGGGAAAGGGGAGCTGCTCGGTGCCACAGGCCTCTGCTCACCTGTCCCAGCTGCACCCTGAAGTGAGGTGGGCCAGCGCCGGTGGGGACACAGCACCCACCCAGGCCACCTCTGTCTTCTCCCAGTGGAGCAGAAACTCGAAGCTCAAGTCACCTCCTCACCCCTCAGTCCCCACGAGAGCTGAGAGGAGAAGCGGCCGTGTGTGTCTCCAGCACTTCCTTCTGTCCCAGCGCTTGCTTTGTGAGTCACCAGGGGATCCAGGCTGGGCTGCAGGAGGCCGGCAGGAGGAAGTGGCCAGAGGCCCCAAGAGGCAGCTTCCGGAAGCTCCTTCCGGATCCATGCAGCTCAGTGGGCCGTGTGATTCCCTCAGGCCGAGACACGGCCAGGCCAGTGGCTGTCCGACAGGGAAATGCCAGGCAGCTCCATGCCCCAGTCAGTGCCGGCGTGGGGTGCGTGGTGTGGGCAGGTCCCCTGCTCTCCTCACTCTGAGCTGGGGGAGGCCGGAGACTCCCCATCGTCAGGGTTCTGGCCCTGGGGGGAGGCAGGCGGGCCCCCCTTCACCCGCTTCCACTTCATCCTCCGGTTCTGGAACCACACTTTGACCTAGGGAGGAGGCCAAAGAGCCTGGTCACTGGGGTGGGGGCGACCCACCCACACGGGTGCCCAGGGACGGGGTGGGAAGCCACCTGCTGCCCCCACCCCGGGAGCCAAGGCCAAAGGGGACACGTTCGTCTGCCCAGATGGCTCTGGCTGTGTCCCTCGGCAGGGCAGGGCATGTCTGTGCTGTCCCCTTCCCTGGCCCCTCCTGGGCCAGGGCCTGCCCCCATCCCCACCTCAGTGAGGCCCCAGGGCACAGCCTCACTCCGGGAGTTCGGAGAGCACGGTTCGGTCCACACCGCTCTGCTCAGCGTTTCCTGTGAACCTCAGCGCCTTGCGCCGGTGGGACTGGGACCCATTTACAGTGGAATCTCACTTTTTTTTTTAATACCAGGCATTGAACTCGGAACCTTGTGCTTTCGAGGAGGCAGGCGGCGGAACCACTGAGCTAAATCCCCGGCCCTACAGTGGAATCTCAAGGTCTCAGGGCTGGGACTGGTAGATGGGTTTGGGTCAAGTCTTCTGGTTCAACCCCCAACACTCCTTATCATTACTATGTCACCATCCCAGACCGGGAGCCCACAGAGGACCAGGGACATTCGTCTAGTGTCCCCAGGAGTCCGTCGTCCCCGGCCCCTCTGCGGAGCTGACCGGAGTCCTGGCCCCCTGAACCCCAGGACCTGCATTCCGGATGGCGCCTGGCGATCCCAGAGCCCATGAATCGCTGGGGACCTTTGGAGACCCTGGGCGTGGGTTCCATCTGGTCCCCAGCGTTTCTGACCGCCTCGGGGGTCTGGGGTGCAGCCCCAGTTGAGACCAGCCTGGCGGAGGAGGGGGGCGCGGACTCGGGCACCTGGCGCTCGGAGAGGTCGAGGTTCACGGCGATCTCGTATCTGCGCAGGCGCGTCAGGTAGTTGTGGTGCGCGAACTCGGTCTCCAGCTCACGCAGCTGCTCCTTGGTGAAGGCGGTCCGCTCCTTGCGGGCCTTGCCACCCTCCGCCTTCCCGCCGGGCTCCTGCGGATCTGAGAGAGAGAGCCCCACCCAGGGCGGCGTGAGCAGGCGCTGTCCCTTCCTCTCGTTCCCAAGCAGCTGGCCCACAGCCAGGCCAGCGAGAGGACCCGAGGCCTCTGTACTGGGCCACGTCCCCAACTCTTTAAACCATTTTTGGCCGGGGATTTGGCTCAGTGGTTCCGCCACTTGCCTTGCAAGTGCAAGGTCCGGAGTTTGAACCTTGGTACCAAAAAAATTTTTTTTTTAATTTTGAGACAGGGTCTCACTGAATTGCTAAATTGTCCAGGCTGGGCTCAAACTTCCCTCAGCCTCCTAGAGTGCTGGGAGTCCAGTTGGTCTCTCTGGTTTTTTTTTTTGGTACCCGGGGATCGAACTCAGGTCCTTGAGCCTCTCTGGATTTTTGTACCAGGGATCGAACTCAGGACCTTGTGCTTTTGAGGTAGGCGCGGTACCACTGAGCTAAATCCCCGGTCCTAGTCTCTGTGGATTTTAAGGGATGCCTGAGAAAGGAGCTCCCGTGTCCCCTCTCACCCTGGGACACTCAGGAAGGCTTCTCACTACACCAGAAGCTGCTCTCGGCTACTCCCTGGGTCCTGCACATGTGGGCTGCCACACCCACTGGGGCGGAGATGGGTGGCCCTGCGGGTGATTCCTGTGTACCGTCAGCCTCACGGGAGCTGGTCACGCGGTTAGGTCTCTGTCCCTGCAGGGCCACATCGGGAGAGCCAGGGGCCCTGGGGTGGGGGCTCCCAGAGACACAGTGCTCCTCTGTGCCAGGCCCCGTCTGACCCGGCACCCTGTCTTCAAGGGTTGGCCGTATTTCACAGACTGAGGACGGGCTCAGAGTCAGAGTGGCCCAGGTGCGCCCGGTGTGGCAGGGCCAAGGACCCAGTGCTCTTTAACGGGGGCAGGGGGTGCCCAGAGGGTGCCCAGGGGGTGCCCAGGAAGTGCCCCAGCCCACAGGCACGGTGGCCCCCAGTGCCTGCCACGTGGCCATTGGCCAGATCTGACCTGTGGCCTCTCCTGTCTGGTTCCCCAGACCCGGAAACAGGGTGCAGAATCTGGTGCTTTACAAGACTGCATCGATCTGAGTGCCCTCGGACAGCCCCAGGGTGGCAGCACCGCATCCTGCTGTCCTCTGGGCTGAGCCGGAGCCCGACCATCCCCAGCTTCATCCCCGGAGCCTCCTCCACCCCATCTCCTCTTCTCCACCACTGGGCTCAGAGTCCCGGCCTGTGCCCCTTGCCCAGCCAGGGGACAGAGAAGAGGCTGGCAGGTTGCACCCGGCACCTGGGAAAGCGGTTGGAGTCGTCTCAGCATGTCCTGTCCCAAGGCCCCAGAGTCACAGCTAGGCAGGGGATGGCCCAGGGGACTTGTGCAGAGCTTTGAGCACCAAGTCTCGCTGGACACTTCAAGGAAGTCACTTAACCTCTCTGGGTGCCAGGCTCCTCCCAGGGCTGTTTTGAAGAGACTAAGTGAGGTGACATGTGTGGAAAATGCTCTTAGAACCTAAAGGTTAGCTGGGGTGTGATCCCAGCACTCGGAAGGCTGAGGCAGGAGGATCATTGCAAGTTCAAGCCCAGCCTGGGCTACAGCAAAACCTAGTCTCAAAACAAAACATAACAAACAAAAACAACCCTAAAGCTGCTTCCAGCTGGAGAAACGCCATGAGAAGTGACAGGGTGAAGAGCCTGGTGTTGCTGACTGCTTCCCACCCTTTCTAAGTGCACTCGCTTTCAGCCCTCGCCCAAGTCCACAGTGGGCTCTGTCACCTGGGAGCTGGCAAGGGCTCCTCACCCTCTCCCCAGTGACCTCTGCCCCCGCCAGTGGCTGCTCCTGTCCCGGGTGCAGGGAAGCTTTTCGAATCCAGCCTCAGTGGCACAGCTGAGGCAGCTCAGAGAGGCCGGTAGCCCAGTGGCTTCAGACCCAGATCCCCAGACGCGAGCTCTCAGCAGACAAACGTGGAGTGGGTGCCAGGACACGGAGGCCCCCAAGGCTGTGTGACTCCCAGACACTGACTGCTGAGGGAGGGCGGCCGCCCAAGGCCACAGGGAGGGAGGTTGTGGAAGGACAGTGGCCTGGGAGCCTCTCAGAGAGGACAGGACCCCTCACAGGAGCTCGAGGCAGAGGACAAAGGCAGCCCGGCTCGGACCCAGACAAGGACACCCTGCCTGCATCTGCTCAGCATCCACCTGTGCCCTGGTCAGGGAAATGGCAGAAGAAGAAATGAGGGACGTCCTAGTAGGAAGGGAGGGGAGAAGTGGGCTCTGTCCGCAGCTGCCCCGATCTGTGGGGAAAATGCTGAGCACCCCACAGACGGAGCCGTTAGCATAATGCACACATCCGAGTCGCCAGCTGTGGGGTGCGCAAGACTCTGCCATGCCTCTGTGCACCCACACAAACACTCTGAAGGGTGGACTGAGAAAACAATTCCATTTAAAATAGCATAAAAAGGAGGATTGCTGTGAGTTCAAGGCCATCCTGGGCTACACAGTGAGACCCTGTCTCAAAAACCCCAAAACTTAAAAACTTCTGCACAGCAAAGGACACAATCAACAGAGTGAAAAGGTGACCTACAGAATGGAAGAGAGATTTGGAACTGGCATCTGAGAGGGGTGACTATTCAGAATATATAAAGAACTGGGGCCTGGCAATAATGAAAACCCCAAGCAGCCTGGTTAAGAACGGGTGAAGAACTTCAGTTTCTGCGAAGGAGATACACAGACGAGCAGCAAGCAAAGAGAGGGCCTCAGCGCACCTGCGTGGGGGAAGTGTGGGTCAGCGGCTGTTTAAGGGGAGACCAGGAGAGCCTCAAGTCGGGGCCTTGCTTCCCGGTGGGGATGTGAAACAGGGCGGCTGCTGGGAGCTCCTCAAAACACTGAGGCCAGGGTTACCATGCGCGGCAATTCCGCTTCCCGGTATGCGCCCAGAATGTTCAAAACCGGGCCTCTGCTCACACGTGGTGGTTGCATCCTGGTTTACCATCGCTAGGAGGCGGAAGCCACCTCAGTGTCCATCCACAGGTGAGTGGAGAAAGAAAGTATGTCTGTCCACACCCAGATGTTGCTCAGCTTTCAAGGGCAAAAGTTCTGTTGTATGTGACAGTCGATAAAACGCGAGGACATTCTGCCGCGTGCACTCAGCCTGTCACAGAAAGGCAGGGCCCGGCTCCTGGGGAGCAGCGTGGTGGTCGGCGGGGCTGAGAAGGGGAAGGAGGATTAGACGGGTGTGGGCTCCAGAGCTGCAGGGGAGGCAGCTCCGGAAACAGCTGCAGCACCCTGCATCTGCAGGATTCGGCCGTACAGAATGCTCTGAAGGGTTCGGATGGCAAAGGTCGTGGTAGGCCGTTCTTGGGCCACAATGATAAAGGAGAGATTTCCAGGGGAGGCGTCTCAGGACCGCGGCTTCCTTTTTGAAGCTGCAAGCTGTGGTTAGGAAACCAGCACAAGCTCTAGGAGATCTCTAATTTTCAAGCGTTTTCATGGCAGCTTTCGCTGACATGATGCTCTGTACAAGTGTAGTCAAAACATTTTAAGTAGGGGAGGAAATGTGGTCGGAAGGGTGGCTATGGGGTGGGTGTTAGAAGGCTCAGGGCTTCGGAAGCGCCAGCCCAGTGCGCGCGTGTGTGCCCCTGCGTGCCGAGCCAGGCCAGTGCACAGTGTGGCTTCCACGTGCTCCGCGCAGGGTGACTGAGCGTGAGGACGGTGCAAGGCAAGACCTAGGCCGACCCTGCGCCTTTAACCTGGTGGCGTTCAGGCAGGCGCACAGCTCGCTCGCTCGCTCGCTCGCGGAGGGGAAGTGGGGCCCAGGGGCCCCGGATGTAGAGTCCCAGTCCCCCGTCAGAAGACGCGAGCCCGCCGATCATCTGCAACCTTCCCTTGACCCCGCCAGGAATTCATCACGAAATCCCTCCTTGCCATAAATTAAAGCCGACCACGGTAGCGATGACACTTTGGGTCTTCTGGCGGCCCCCCACCGGGGGGACAGGGGGAAGGGAGGGGCGGCCTGGGCCCCACATCCGGGTCACTTGGGGCATGGGGCCGGGGGGGGGGCGTTCCACAAACACCTGCGGGGGGGGCCTGGCCCGACTGGTATCGGTGGTTTTAGATCTTGTGGCCCAGACTCAGCAATTTCAGGGTCCCCAGGAATGCCCGTCACCCCTGTGTCCTGAAGGCCAGCCCGGGAAACCTGGGCTCACAGCCATGGTGCAGCGGCCCACAGACGGGTGTTAGGGATCCCTGTGAGTCCCTTCACAGGGATGGGCCTGGAAGCGCTGCCTTGCACCCCCATTTCACCCTGAGGGGGAGCAGAGGCTGCAGGATGTGAAGAATGCCTCGCAAAAACAACCCACAGTTAGGGGTGCTGCCCAAGGAGAACTTGGGTTTGGGCCCAGCACCCCGTCCCCAAAGAACTCAAGATGAACAAAATGTGGCAGCTTGATTGGGGAGCAGGCGCAGCCAGCCACTTGGGGGCCCTGGGGGGGAGCCTGATGCTCCCCCACTTCGGGTTCCACCAAGCTGACCTGGGCCTCAGTCAGGTTCCAGAGGACGCCCGGACCTGGGGCCGCATGGGGACAGGGACAGGGCTGGGGTCCTCTCGGGTGGGGTGACCCCCAGAGCCGACCCTGTGGGTAGCCAGGGCCCCTGGGCCAGGCATGCATGGGCCAGGGCCAGCACAGGAGCAGTGGCAGCGGCCCCAGCAGGAGCAGAGACGGCCATGCAGGTGCAGCTGGCGCTTGGGAGAGGCAGGGCTTGGCCGGTGCCTGCCCGGTGCCCTGGGCCCTCAGCCCTGGAGGCGGCTGGATACAGCTGTGAGATGCGACAGGCACACTGAGGGTCACAGAGGGGCAGGGACACAGAGGTGCCGTCCAGGGACCGCAGCTGGGCTGGACCTGCAGGGGACATAATGGGGCCTCCACAGAGCGGCCGGCAGGGCGCGGGTGGCATCGCCAGTGTTAGGTGAGGAGGGCTCCATGCCTGGGTCTGCCGGGGTGAGGTCCAGGGGAGCCCCCCAAGGAGCCCGAGTCTCAGTCTCCTGGGCCTGAGCGACCCCGGACTCGGACGCCCCTGTTCAGACTGTGCAGGGCAGTGGAGAAGAGCCGCTGCCTTGACGGAGACCCCGCTCCTACTGTGTCCCCCACCTTCTGCTCTGTCTCCAGCGTACCAAGCTGAGATACAGATTCGCCCTGTGTTCCTCACCTTGCAAACCTAGGGGACCCCAAGGAGCTGACACCCTGTCTGAGCACGCTCCTGCCATCAGCCCACACAGGCTCCTTCCCCTGCTCCTGTCACCCGCCACAGTGTCCCCGGGAAGCCTGCGCTGGCTCCTCTTCACAGGCTGCCCCTCGTCAGCCGCACCAGGTCCCCTGGCCACGTCAGTACACAGTGGGCTGAGGTGGGGGCACAAGGCCAGGGACCAGACGGTGGTCGGCACAGCGGGAGATGTGGGGGGCCTCGGGGGAGGGCAGAGGACAGTGCAGGAAGAGCAGGACCTCCAGGGACCCGCAGGCCCCTTCCCAGGGGTTACTGGTCCCTGGCCTGGCGTAGCCCAGCTCTGGCGCCCAGGCTAAAGTGGGCGGCTGCCTCAGGCCACAGCCTTGCTGCCTCTAGGCTGCTGGAGGCCACCAAGTTGCAGTCCGAGCCCAGGACTCCACTGGGTGCCATAGACCCCAGGGTCAGGAAGCCCCTCCAGCCCCTGGAGCCCAGCCAGGCCTGCCCACAGCCTTCGCCCTGTGAGTCCTTGAATCCGCTCCTTCTGGGGCCCAGGACACTGGCCGGGGACACAGACACAGCCCCATCACTGTCCAGCGACTCCTAGAACCCCCGACGGAGGAGACCCCTGGTCCCGTTGCCCTTTGACAGCACCGTGCGACATGCGTGATGGGGCGCGGGCTCAGCGCAGGGAGCGGACTCCAGGCCACCTACCTGCAGTCTCCTTCCTCCGCCTGGACGGCTTCCTCTCTGCCTCGCCGGCTGCGCGCCCCAGCACCCTGCACCCCTCACCCAGGCCTCCTGAGGCTGGGCCCAGGTGCAGCCTCTGCCGGGCCTCGGAGACGGAGCCAGAGACGGGGAGGTGCCACTCAGGCGGCTGCGGGAAGGCGGGGTGCTGCTCTCGGGGCAGGCTGTGCGGGGTGGCGGCCAGGCAGGAGGCTGAGAAGTCGGAGAGTGCAGCGGCAGCTGGGAAGTCCGGCTTCTGATGGAAGGAGAACGGGGCTGGCGCGCAGGGGGCAGGCACGGAGGCCTCGCTGCCCTCGGCATGGGGGTTCCGCAGGCAACCCCAGCCTGGGCCCGGACCCAGGGGGCTCCTCAGGCAGGGCCTTCCTGCGGGGTCCATGGGCTCCACCGCCCAGCACAGGCTCACGCTTTGCACTTCTTGGGGGCAGATGTTAAAGAACGCCGAATCAACAGAAGCCAAGTGAGAAGGGAAAATGCTCAACACCGGTCACCCCGAGAGCCAAAACCACAGCCAAAACGACAGTCTGTCCAGAGGCCACACGCGCGTGTGCGCACATGAGGTCCAAGTGCCTCCTGCGCCCGGCACGCTGCCCGCTACTGTCTGTGGAGGAGGCTGCCACTCATGGTCAGTCCCAGCCCAGGCCGGGGTGGGCGCCTCGGAGCCCAGAGCTGGGGCTGCTGGCGGGCGCTGGGACTTTTAAATCCTGCAGTAGGCGAGGGTGACAAATTTCTGCAGTGAAACGTGAGGAGGAGAGGGAGGGGTAAGCCGTGGGGTCCCCTCCAACCAAAACCCAGCGGGCGGGCGGGCGGGCGGGATGCATCCCAGAAACCTTATATGCGAGGTAATGGGAATTGCAGCTGGACTCTTAAAGAAACACGGTCTGAGCTCTGTTAAGGAGCAAGGGAGCCTGTGCTGCAGTGCGGACACTCACACCCTGCCTTCAGTGTGACTCCTGCAGCACCATAAAGTTATTTTTATTGCACCGTTAACAAAATTCTTCAAGTCTTGGATTTGGAAAAAGCCCCAAGTCAGACCCAGAACCCATCAGAAGCCAAGTTCCCTGGGGGTGGGGTAAGTGCCGGAGACAGGCCGGGATTTCAAGTTCCTCCTGTGGCTACCGCAGGGAGGAAGGTGGATTAGAAGAAATCCTTTTTGCAGGTCCCGGCGGCCCACTACGGTCTGGGGTGTAAGGAAAGACACACTCCGGAAAACATTCCTTCCTCTCAGCCCGCGTGGCTGTCTCCCCTGGTCAGTGACTTCTATTTTATTTGGTTTTTGAGACAGGGTCTTGCTGTGTAGCTCAGCCTGGCCTTGAACTCACTGTGTAGCCCAGGCTGGCCTCGAACTCACAGCAATCCTCCTGCCTCAGCCGCCCGAGTGCTGGGCTGACAGGCGTGGGCCACCGCACCCAGCTCTAGTCAGTAATTTATAAAAAATCCAGTTAACCTCCACTCATCCACCAATCACACGCTTGTCAGGGAGGCCCGAGCTCCTCTGGGCCTCGGCCCTCAGCTCCCTGTCCCCAGCCCCCCCCCCCCTGCCTCCCTCCTTGGCCCCCAGGGCGTGGGGACAGGAATGTGGGGCTCCTTGGTCCCTGAGATTCTCCCGAGGGCTGTCCTTGGTGCAGGATCCCATGGGTCTCGTGGCCAAGGCCATCTCAGTGTGCAGCAGCCGCAGCCCCTGCCTCCTGGCCACCCCGGGTCACCCCTGGGCTCGCCGTCACCTTCTGGGACTCCGGTCCATGCCCTCAGCGCCCAGCTCCTCTCTGCTCCGAGTTTCCCCACCGGGGCAGCAGCAGGATGGGGGCCTCAGCAGGCTCTGGCAGGCCCGTCCCAAGGACACCAGGGCCCCCAGGAGAGGCTGCACCCTGGGGTGGGGACGGGGCAGAGTGAGGGACGGGCGGGGGAGCCCCAAACTCCAGGCAGGCGACCCAAGGTGTGGAGACCTAGGGGCGGGACAGCCTCCCGGGGACAGGGGCCCTGCAGTGGTCTCAGCCGTGCCCGGGCCTCTGCGCCCCACACAGGGTTCTCCACTGCAGGTAAAGTGGGAGTGGCGTCTACACTGTGCGGGCGGGGAAACTGAGGCTGGGGTGGGTGACGGGTGCCGAGACGAGACACAGCAGAGCCAGGGTTGGGTGGAGAACGGGGCCTTGGGAGCAGTGAGGGCCTGGTCCCCGCCTCCTCCGCATCGCTCGGGGCCCCACCCAGGACCATGGACGGCGGGGTCAGGAGGGCGGGGCGGGCAGAACCCCCGGGCACCCGGGGCCCAGCAGCTGCCCATGTCTGTCGGCCCCCAGGGAGGCACCTCGCCCAGCCGCTCCATCTTCCTGACAGCCCCCTCCCGAGCCCAGGAAAACACCCCGGCCGGCGGGGCCCATTTGTCAGAGGCACCCGCACCTGCCCCTTTAACCTCTCCGGCCGGGAGTCCGGGGCCCTGCTCAGGGACAGAGCCAGATGGACAGGCTGCGTGCTGTGCCGTGGGAGAAGCTGGAGGCAGGGGGCGGGGGGGCGGGGGGGCGGGACCCCACCCTGCCGCTGTGGGCGGCGGAAGGAAAAGCAGGAGTTGAGGGTCCCAGGGCCGCACTGGGGGCACCCAGGAACGAGTGCGTGGCCCTGGAGGTCCCGCCTCGCTGCCTGCTGTGCCCAGGGAGGCGGGGCCAGGCTGCAGCGGGGTGCTTCGAGGGAAGCCACCCCTCGCTAGCCCTCGCCGCCAGGCGCCTAGACAGAGCCTGCCTGGTGTGGCTTCCGGGGCCAGCCCAGAGGCCGGAATTTGCTGATGGGGAGCAGCCAGGTGGCAGCTGTGACCTCCCTGGGCCCGCTGGCCCCACCCCGCCCAGGCTCCGTCTCCATGGCCACGTGAAGGGGTTATGGCCAAGTCTGAGAATCAGGACCATGAGGACCCAAGTCCCAGTCCTGTCCCGGCCCACAGATCAGCTTGGGCCAGTCGCTTGGGTCCTGTTTTCCTCACCTGCGAAAGGGTGCAAACCTCCTCCCCCAGGAGTTGCAGCGAGACGGCAGGTGACCCGGAGGCTCAGGTCCCAGCCTGGAGTGGAGTGGGGACGCTGGGGATGCCGGACGGTGCATCCGGACGGCCCAGCGGGGCAGGGAAATGTTTCAGGCCCCGAGAGGGCCGGGCAGAGCCCGGGCTGCCACTCATGTGGAGAAACCCAGAGCCAGGCAGGCTCCAGGCCCAGGGAGCAGCGCACCGGGCCAGGTGGCTCCTCTTCCCAGGCTCTGAGCCCCGGGGCCCTGGGGACGAGGTCCCCGACAAGAGGAAGCAGAGGACAGAGCCCCTGCCCCGGCTCCAGGTGTGGGCCCACGGACGAGCTCTCTCTCACAGGCGACCATCACCTCAGGATTGGGGAGCAGGAGTGGGAGGGGACAGAGGGGCTCACCAACCAGCACCTCGCCGCGTGGAGCTGCAAGGGATGCTGGGGGCAGTGGCCCCGACATCCCCTATGCTCTGGAGCATCCTTAGGCCCCCATATCCACTGTTGATCTGAAACTCACATGTCACGGGGGTCACCTCGTCTTCTTCTCCAACTGGCTTGACGCTGGGTGGCGTGGGGTGCAGGGAGGCAGCAGGTGACGCCAGGCAGGAAGTGGGAGTGGTGGCGCCATTTCTGCAGGGCCCGGCCGGGCCTCACTCTCCGGTGGTGGAGGCGGCAGGGCCGTATTTTGGGGAAGCCACCTTTAAGTGAGCCGGACGGCAGAGCAGATTTATGGAGTGTGGGGACCACTGTTTCCCTCTCTTCCCTCTCTGTTTACCCAGCAGTATTTTTAAAATCCAAAAGTGGATGTGCACTGACTGGGCTGGTGAGTTGCACCCAGACTGAGAGGGGCCTGGGTGACTCCTGCAGCTCGCACGGCACCGGGAAAGGCCTTGGTGGGTTCCTGTCCTGTCCTCCTCCGCTCTCCCTCCCCCGGGGAGCTGTGCTGCTGAGGCGGAAGCCGTCGGGTCTTCGGTTTGGGGGCTGAGGAGCCAGGCAGGGCCTCATTGTGGATGGAGGCCAGATGGTGTCCTGGGCGGTGGGTCTGAGCTGGGTAACAAGCTGCCCGGGGCAGTGTTTCTCCGAGACCCTTGCTGCTCTCCCTGGTCTTTGTCCTGGTCTCTCTCCGCAGCGGTGTGGGAAAGTGGGGCCCAGGAGGGAGGAGACACCTGACCTTCGTGTGCTTCTGTTTCTGCCATGGAACGAGGGTGGGGCCCCCACCTCCTGCGCCCAGGGTCCCAGCGTCCACTCACCGCAGAGTGCACAGCAGGGCGGACTCCGCCCCATGGAGAGACCTGGAGGTCAGGGCCTTGTCTGAGGTCGCACAGCCAGCAGGGGCTGAAACTGGGCCCCCTGCTTCCCGCTCTTTTTGAGCCCCGAGATGGCGTGCAGCCAGCGGGCAGTGACCAGGGAGCAGGCTCGGGGCTTGGGTTGGGCCCCACCCCACGGTGGGGCTCAGGACCCCGGGAGGAAACCATTCTGCGCAGGGAGCCCACACCAGCCAGGGTTGTGGTTCCATGAGCGGCAGAGCTCTTGGAAGGTGGCTGCTTCGGCCCCAGGCTCCCAGGTCCTTCCTGTTTAACTGAAGAAAGAAACAACCTCTGCCCTGCACTCACCTGCACCTCCCTGCCCAAGGGCCCCACGCCGAGCCGCCAGGCTCAGGCCACACGAGTGTGCACTGTGACAAATGCTCTCGGACATGCTGCCGAGTGTGCCTGCTCGGCACACACAGGGCCAGCAATGCACACTCGTGTGCACACACACATTAGCACAACCAGAGAGCTTCGGCCAGGCCCTCCTGACGATGCACACCCACCCCGTGCACACTGGAAACATGTCCCGCGTACACTGGATGTGCAGACACACACTGCACACCAGATGGACACCCGCCCACACACACGGATGCACACTCTTGTGCACACACTCGGCTTCTTTTCTCCATAGAGATGAGCTCTGAGGCCTGATGCCCACACACCTGTGTCTCCTTGCACACGCATGTGCACACAGGCTACCCCGGCCTCTGGCACTGGGTGCTGCTGAGACACAGTAGCGTCCAGCTGACAGCCCAGCCCCGTCCTCGTCCTCGCACCGATGGATCTTCTCCGCCATCGCGTCTTCAAAGCCTCACATCCCTGGCCGCAGGGCCCTGATGAGCCCAGAGCTGCCCCTGCTTGGGAAGGGAAAGGAAAGGAGGGGAGGGGAGGGAAAGCAGCGGCTCCCGGTCCGCGGTTGGTGCTGGCTGGGCGGCCTGTGGTGCCATCTAGTGGTGGCCCTCAGAACCGCAGCATGCCTGCGAGGCCGGCGTCTCCTGGAGACAGAGCAAGGCGAGTGGACTTCGCCCGGTGGCACCTGCAGGAAAACAGGGCTCCCGAGCCCGCCCTCCGGCTGCCCCCGCGGGTCTCCCCACCTGCCCCGCTCTGAGCTGAGAGCGGGAGGGAGATGCGTGGAGCCCAGCGGGTGGGCAGCAGAGCAGGGGACACTGCTGAGGGCCGCATGGGGCACAGTCACCGCCACGGGCCCAGGGAGCCCAGAACGGTGCCCGCTGCCCATGCCCTCCTCCTCCTGTGGCAGAGCGCTGTGCCAGCGGCCCGAGGATCTGGGAGGGCCCTGCTGGTCAGGGGACCAGGACAGAGGCGGGGCTGGGGGCCAGGTGGGGC